CAAGATATTGCACCGTCTCTTTTGCGCATAATGAATCTACGCGATAGTGTTGTAGTAGTCATCTCTATTTAGGAAGTTTGAAGACGCGCACAGCCGTCAAGAGGACAAGAAAATTTATATATGAGATGACTACGTTTCAAAAGGGTAGTGTTGTGAGGTAGGCAATTATTCGAAATTAAAAGGTTAAAATTAAAAATATATATGAAAATTACAGCATGTTAGTTAACTTCCAATTTTGGTTTTAAACTAAAGAAACTTGAAAATGATTTACGGTCAACCGTTAGAAAAATCGAAAAGTTAAATTGGAAGTTAACTAACGCGGGACATGCTGGGATTTTCATCAATAATTGCATTTCTGACAGTCTTAATCTAATGCGTATGTATTTTTGTGTATGTATATATATATATATATATATATATAATATATGTATATATATATATAATATATGTATATATATAAACATCTATATTTGTACAGTACAGTCATGCTTTGGCCTTTCCTTCTTTAAAAATAACTGTTGTTTTTGAAAATCACCTGGACGTCCTGTAAAAAAAGATGGATTGTTCTTGATTTTAGCTTGTTGTGCTAATTCTTTCCATCTTAGTCAATCATGTGTTACTTTGGCTAAGATGAGTTTTAACTTTTCATTTTGACTTAGAGCGTCGAAGTCATTGCGTAATATTAATGGGTTGAAGCTTAGCTCCCTCAATAGATGACATTTGGCTGATTTGTAATGTTGTACCCCCTCCGATATTGATCTTCTAGTTGTCAAGTAGTGACCGTGTTTGGTTTTGTCCATCGACTTTTGTATTTCGAAGAATTTTACTATACAATCAAAGTATGCAGTTTACTTTAACTGTATTTGCAACAAATATACTTTTCAAAGTTTGCGCCAATGTGTTTAAACTTTTATATCATCGTCAATCGATTTATTTCAAAAAAGGCTTTGTTTAAAAGGCTTTTGTTAAATTGATTTACTCTTTGTTAAAATCTTTATTACATGCTCGGAACTATGTGAAGATACATTACGGGGTATAGTCCACACTTCACAACAATGCGTAAGTGACATTATTTAAAAGCTTCTAGCCGCATTTTCCAAAATTAAGAGTTTTGACATTTGATACTGACACCGTTTTGTCAAATGTCGAACAGTGCCAGTAATAACGTAATAATCGTACATAACTGTATAAGGTGTACCATTGTACTATGAGAAATATTACCAGATTTTAACTAGTTTGATACTATTATTTTAACAATTATTAACTATGGAGTCAATTGTTGAAATTGTTTGTTTTTATTGATATTACATTAATTGAAATTGGTGGTTCAGAAATCAGCTTGTTAGTTACGAGGTCGAGGTGGTTACAACACTAGTATTAGAAGTGGGATCTTCAGGAGATTACACACTGGTGACAGAAGTAAGATTTTGATAGCTGTAAACTCACTGCAGGGCTAGAGAACTCAATGTAATTTGTCTGACAAGAGATGCTTAATTATTGACGATTATTTTTATCCCGTATTTTAACGATTTTAACAATTGAATAAACGAGCGATCGATCACAGCAATACACCCCAGCACTGTTTTCTTTTTGATAAATTTCATCTGATTTAAGTCTGTTCTGGAGTCAAGGGAGAGAAATAGTTATACCCTTCAATATTGTTTTCCGTTTAAATCTTGGTACACTGTGCTGTCATTATGTCCTAAATATTTAAACAAATTTTATAACGATATGTTGAGGTTTTCGTTATTGCAAACTTCTAAAATGTTGAGAAATGAAAGTGATGATATGACTGTTATAAATTTTATTAGGATAAAACGAATATGAAGCTAGTTATTGAATGAAGTTTGCTTTTAAGACTCGTTAACACGGAAAATTAGTCTACAAAGAAAAGTGGATGCCTATGGATGTTGCACTAGCGGTTTTGAGAAATATTAAATATTTTGATTGGTGTTTATAATTCAAGAAATAAATCAATTATTGAGTTGTGAGACAACAGCATCCATATATACTTATAACAATTTTCCTTGCTAGTTTTTCACTAAATAACAGTTAAATCTCTTGTATATTTACATTTTGTTAAAATAATCAATTATGAAAGTCTTTGTATGAATTTTTAATAAAGAAACCGTTGTTTTTACGCTGGGATGTTGAATTACAATTATGCTTGAACCATGAAATGAATCTTCATATGTTGTTGAAGATTGATTACGGTCAATGATGTTTATCTGTAGCTGTTGAAAAAACATTTTTTAACAAATTTACTGCCTCTACATCATCACCAATCTGTTTATAAAATTTGCATATTTCATTAGTAATAGTTGCTTTAATTTCTTGAATCCGATGACATTAATTTTTTTTATTTTTTGACAAACTGACCAAAAAAATTTTTAAATTATTAGTACTTGTGTTTTAAGAGGGTAATCAAGGAAACATGGTATATCAAAAATATTAAAATTTACGTAATTAAATTTTTGTATATTATATTTAGTATGTACTGTACATAATAACATAATAGCAAAAAGATTTTTTGTGGTTCTCAAGTTAAGCTAGAAAGCGTTAACCGACTGAAATAAGGTGGTGCTTAAACGTCGTACAATAAACAGGAAAAAACCGCAATAAATAAATCACACTAAGAAATTAAAAATTATCTTTAACTTTTGTTTGGTTGTGAATTAGATTTTGTTTAGAATGGCGATTAATTTTAAGATTATTATAAAAATTCTTTTAAATTTACAGATCAAAATGTGGCTGAAGAAACTAGTCAAACTTTTCATATACCAACATCCGGTTAGTTTTTATTTTCCAATGCTGTAAGTGATGTTATAAAACATAGTTTTTTATTTGTTGCAACGTCGTTAAAGCTTTCACGTTCAAAGCTTTAAGATATTCGATGATGTCCATTTTTTTATGTTGATACAAATTGACCTTTAGACTAATTTTTTATTCATAATTAAGTTTGCAATTTTGATGTGAGCTATGTTAATCAAGCTGTTTTGTCAAATGAAGGTAACATTCTTGCATTTACGCTTACAAATAGTTTTATTCTAGATTTTACGTTTTATTTAATATGTTGAAAATCTAAATTTTATTGTTTTCAGATTTTGTTGGAAGCAAAAAGTGTTTTGAAGAGCATGCAAGCAAACTGAACGATGTTTATCATCCTAATAACATTCATAATGACTCAACTAATTTATCAACAATAACACTAACACGTTTTGATTTATCGCCAGCAAAGTGTGCCACGCTAGATCCTACATTGCTGGCCCACAACTTATCTTCTTCATTGAGTACACATGATTCCGTCAGCATATCAAGCTCAGATTTGTCATCATTACCTTTCATCACGATACCTTATGAGCAAACTGACAACCGTTTAGTTGAGCAAACGAATGTTGATTCTTCTGATCAACGAAATTTTAACAATTTCATTAATAATAATATTTCTGTAAGCGTTGACAGTGTGGATGAGGACAAATTTGATAGCTTCTTGATCGAGAATGGTTATGCTCTATTTATATTGATTTTTTTAATTTTTTTATTATTTATTAATAGCAGAAGTTGAGTGGTGTCAGTTTTTCATTTTTCGAAACATTGTAACTGGTTTTGCTTTTTGTATTTAAAGTTTATTTTTATATTTTTCATGTTTTTTTCAATTATTATATCTCATTTATCTATATGTTTTCATGAATTTACTATTTATTTTTGTCCGTTTTTTTAGGCAAAACACAAAATAATTTCAAGTTTTAAATTATTCAATATTTAAAGATCCCAATAAGCGTGAATTAATTGATGAGGAAGATGATGATGACGATGAAGATGATGCAAATGATTATAATGATGTTGGAGATGTGCAGCCAGATTATCGGAAGTCCAGTGAGTCATTGAAACGAAAACATAATGAGTTGTGTCTTAATGTCATCAATCATAGTGAAAATACTAACGTGACAGTTGATAATGACAAAATCAGTTAGTTTTTATTTTGCGTGTCTTAAAAAAATAAAGGTTTACATTCATTACAATTTTTTTATTTTTTCACTTTTCTATTAAACTTAGAAACACTAATCAAGTTTTGTTACAATTCTTTAGCTTTTCTTTGTTTTTTGTAACATATAATTAAATTTATGATTTTATACATGTGATAAAAACACAAAGCGGCTCATCTAATCATTTGTTATCATAGAAAGTTATTTGGAAAAACTTTTTATTCCATTTAAAAACACATTAGCTGCTCACCGTATTTTTTAATTATTTGTTATCATAATAAGATATTTGAAATAACTTTATAAGATAAGTGATATTTATACTACAAATGCAAATTTCTACTCTACTTGCTTTCAAGTATTTTGTTTTATTTTTTGATCTATTGAAGGTAACTTAAATTCAAATGTTATTAATTTGAAATAGGTTCAATTAATCTGATTAGCAGCATTGCTTCATTAAGCAGAAATGTGACAATTCCAAATCTACAAAGTAATAGTACACTAAAAAGCGTTCTTTATAACGGAAATATAACGGGGTGGAATGTTGATCTGGCCGTTTTATTATGGAAACGTTTGCTGGGTAGTCTTGGCAATGTTAATGACATCACTATTCCGTCACTTCATTTAGTTGTCATAGAATTTTTTTCTAATCTTACGGATTGGTTAACTAAAATTCGTGACAACCAATCAGTAACCACAGACAACCAGTCCACTCCTGATCCACCGTTGTACATTCCACCAATTAACCATATCATACCATGGTTATATCAGGTTTGTATGTTTACATGCCTGTTTGATAATAAAACTTTAAAATTCCGTTGAAGAAAATTCTCAAATTCTCTTACTAATTTTTCTTTTGTTTTTTTGTAATTTATTGATTTTCTGTTGTGTTTTTTGGTTAATTGTTATTTTTTGGAATATTCAAACAACATATTTTGTTGTCATTCAAGGCTCTTAATTTACCAGATACATTTCACGCGAGCAAATTAGTAGCAACAATGCTGTTATGTAAAATTGCACTAAGGAAACATGATGTTGATTACGATCTAGATCATTTAGTTAGATTTTACTGGTTCTTGCACCTTGGACTCACTTCACCAAAAGTGGTTAGCATATACAAAAAACAATTATTTTTTTTCATTTTAAATAAATGTTTTGTTTTTTATTTAGTAAGAGATATTAGTTGAATCGTAATATTTTTTGTAAAATTTTTCTCGTTTTATTTAATAATGTTTTCATTATCGGCATTGCTTTCAATAAAAACGTACCATCCTGCTATCAACATCAGGGTCTTTGATTGGTAACCTGTTGTAGCTGTCATGTTCTTCCACGTCTTCCTTAACGCATAATAAATTGTTTACTTTTCATTTTGTTCATTACTTGAATTTTTTTTTTCGTTAATTATTTTGTAGTGTACTAGACGTGATCAAGATTGAAGCTGAGTTTAATTCCAAAATTTTTATTTTGGGTTCATAATAAATATTTTCAAATTTATAACCAATGTTTATTCTACATTGTTTTGTAAAATATATCTTGTTGCAATGCATTATTTCTCTCCGGGTCAGTAGTTCCATTTTTGAAGGTTTTGTATTATTTTGTAACAATTTTCGATAATACTGTTAAAGACGTGAGGTCGAGAACAAGACTAATAGTTAGAAATTGTCATGTATGCATTGAGGAATAAACAGGTTGTAATTAATTAAAGAGTTGTAAATTAATTATTTGGCATATTTACAAGTGCTTCGGTAGCTATATAAAGAGAAAAGGTCCCAGAAAACAAAGAGAGAACGAACAACGAAGAGAAGACAAAACAGTTGACGTAAAAGTGAGATTCGATGCGAAGTCGTAAATGTAGCTATTTGGATTAATTTATTGTTTCTATTACTGCTGGTATTCAAATAAACGTTCAACTTAGTTTGCGTTTGAAGTTCATCTATTGGAAAACTTGAACGGTGTTGGAGATATAGAGATTATTGTAGCTATTACATCGGGGTTGGTAGTTGCAACACTGGTGTCAGAAGTATGATTTTTGATAGCTGGAATCTCACTGCAGTAAAGGATGCCAGGGCTAGAACTCAATATAATTAGTCTGTCGAGAGAATTATTGACGATTTGTTTCATTCCGTGATTTACGCATACGTGCAGCCTGGAATAAATGGCATCTCCTTGCCTCTATATTGATGCAACGTGACATCCCACTACCACTACGATCAATACTTTATAAATCTGTGATACGTCCGGTGTTGTTATTTGGTGCAGAAACATGACCAATAACAACCAAACTGGAACAACAACTTCAACGAACCGACATGAAAATGCTCCGATGGATGCAACGAATTAGTCTGAAGGACCACATCAAATCTACCGAAATCCTGCGTCGTGTTGGTTTAGATGATATAAAGGACGAATGCCGGCAACACCGTCTGCGGTGGTTTGGTCAAGTCAAAAGAAGTGGAAACAGTGCCATAACTTCTCTTGCAGATGCTGAAGTACCTGGAACACGTCCTAAAGGCCGTCCAAAGAAGTCCTGGTCGCAAACAATCGAGCATGACATGAAAGCTCTAAATTTAATTGAAATGGATACAACTGATCGTCTAATTTGGCGCAAAAAGTTGATGGCAAAGAAAACAACGTCCTACCTCGGGAAACCGTGTCTCTGGACGCAAAACGAAGATTGATTGATATGACTTGCATGTCAGGCTCGTATAATTTTCAATTGAATAACAATCCAAAATCTTTTCAAGTGACTGGAGTTGGAAAGTGTTTTTTTATAGGTATATGTTAGGACATATATAGGTATTTTTATAGGTATTTGTTAGGACATATATAACAGTGCTAATAAATGGTTAAAAATGAGCTTGAGCAACTATTTTTTTCTTAAAACTTTCTGAGTGTAATTTAAAAAAAATACGTTACTTAGAAAAATCTACAATTCTAAATCAGCATAATGCAAATTAAGGAAATGATCGTGTTTTAATTAAATTTTTTTAAACGTTCGAAACCTCCTACTAAACTTCAATTTTTATTCAACAACTTCGAATTTTCTTAATTTCACTTGTCCTTATTCTTTTTTTTATCATTTTCTTAAATTATTATAATCACAAAACAGCCTAATACAATCCAAGCTCAATACAGAAGAATGTTTTTCATTATAAAGTTTGGAAATTATGACTTACAAAGCAGACAAAAACTACTTTAAGAGTGGCATGATGGCCATGTCTGTTCATGATTAATAGATTCATGTAAATTTTACATTGCGATATCGTTTAGTTTTGTTATGAAAAATGATCAAATTGATAGATTTTTGCTTTCACGGTAGGTAGATTTGCATGTAAAAGATGAAAACGAGCCATTTCTATCAAATAATGTGCGCCATTTTCAGCTGTACCATTTTGATTTGTTTAGAATCGCGCTTTTGAAGATCACTATGTTAGGACATTGAATATACTGTGATTGAAATACTTCAGATATTCATTCTGTATTTTTATGTTTTTAATTTTTTTTACGGTGCTCCTAAGTGTGACATCAAAATGTTCAGCAGCTATAAGAACGCCACTTTTGATTTAAAAAACAAATTTTATTAACATGAAAAATCATTTTATACTGAAATCTATCTAGTGCTGTTGGTTAAAAAAGGTACTAGTAGTTGTAGTTATAACGCGACGTTTTTACTGCTTCTGAACTATGCTATGCCACACATTTCAAACTGAATTTTCAGGTCTTTAATGTACGTTCTAACATCAGTCGTGTTACCATGACCTGAGTTTTCCTGAGTTTTTTGTTGATTCAGATAAAATGTGACGCTAGACCCTTTTTTAGTAGCTGATTGTACAGAGCAAACTGTAAAATTAAAATACCGTTTGAATTTTTTAAAATCAGAATAAACATTGGTAAAATAAATAACTGCAGGACGTGTGTAACAATCTTATGAAACACTGTACATCAAGGTTCTTGTCAACGGCATATCCAGGATCTTCCTTGCTTGTTCTAGATTTTGTTCACACTATCGATAAAGTCCTTTCTAATAACACTTTGAATAAAGAGGTAATAACTTTTTATAATTTTACAATTTTTTCCATCATTTACAAATTATTCTTTCTTTAAAATGTATTTTTATGTAACATTATTTAAGAATAGTGTTAAAACGATTTGTAGCAGCTCTTCTTATTTCAGCAGTTTTGTTTTAAGCAAATGAGGACAAACAACCTTTTTCATTTCTATTGTATTGTAAGGTAAAACAATTATAGAATTTTTTTCGTTTTTCCATCTTGCGATTTTTTTTAGGCTGATCAATGCTGTTCTCAAGCTTTAGCACTTCTTGGCAGCTTGCAGATATTTGTAAATCGCTTCAAATGTGTTTTACCTGTGTTTGATCCAAGTAGAGATTCATTAACAATCACACGACTTCCTAACATCAAGGTAACTAATTTTGCTAAGGTGTTTTGTGAATATTATATTTTACTTTAAAGTAAAAAATTACTTGTTTTCTCCTGATTAGATAATGTAAAAATTTTAACGTCAATAATTCTTTCTAATTTAAATTTCCAACTTTTTAATTTTTTATATCGATTGATAGACTAAAAAAAAAAAGAAAATTTAGTATGTAACTTTGAGGGTACTTTAATAACTTTTATTTTATCTAAAATAAGTTTTACGATTTTTTAATTAAAAAAATTGCAAATGGAATCGTTTAATAAACTTGTGTAGCTTTATTAAATATTTATAAATAATTTCATAATTTTAGTGTAATTAAAATGACATTAAATCTATGCTTATACCAGGAAAAAATGTTATTCATGTTAATGTCGGCAGCCAGAAAAGAACCATTTGGTAAATCCAAGTAAGTACTTGTTTATGTTAAGAACATTGTCGTGCTAGTCTTTACGTAATATTAAATTTAGGTTTTTACTAGTCCATCTTTTGCAATTATCTATATTATTTTTGTTTTCGATACTCTTTTTTAAAATTTTCTTTTGGAAACATATTTGGGTTTTGCAATTTTGTTACAATTTTTATCGTTTTTTTACATGCATTCAGAAAAACATTGTTTTGAAGTGATATAGCAAGTATCAATCTTTTAATTTGAAATATGCTTTTTTCACAAATATTTTACAATTGTACTATGAATGTTTGTTGTTTTTCATATTTCCCGTCAATTTAAATTATTGTAAAAATATATTTTCTGGTTTTCTGGTTCAAACTTTTCCATTCATTTGTTTTTTTAAATAACATTTTCATGTTTTGCTCATAACGTAAAGGTTGAAGTCTATTAAATTCTTCCGAAGTTCGTAGAAATCAACATGCAAACATCGTATAGAATACATGTGATAGGCGAGAATTTGTTGTCATATTCGAACCCAATTACTGCACGCACGTTCTGCGAAAAAGTACCAGCTAAAAAAACTTCTTTAACTTCTAAGCCATCACGCTAAAGTTATTAGAAACAGTTTTGATTCTATAAAAGTTAACTAATTGTTTTAATTTTGAGCAAAAATTGTGATCTTGTTGTTTCCAGATGTACAGCTTTATCGAGTCTAGGCATCTATTTATATAAAGAGTTAAACAGCAAAAGAATTGATGAACATATTTCTGAAATTTTTGACATTTTTCTGTCGGCGCTACAGGTTTAGTAATGGAAATTTTTTAATTCAATATGATTTAATAATGTTGAAATAAAAAAACTTTTCCATTCACTTCAACAAATTTTGTATTTTATTGTATTTTATTTGATGAATCTGCCTAATTGCTTCTGATAACACTACACCGATTAAATTTTTGCTTCAAAAAATTATTAATAAAGTTAATGACAATTGATAGATCTCATTTCCGTCTATTGGTGCCAAACGTCTGGCTTTGAAAGCATCGTAAAATAGTTATCGATTTTCTCAGTTCTTTTAGAACTATTCATTTAGTTATTTTTGTAAAAAAAAATTTTGTCACTTTGATGAAGAATGTTAAAAGATACCGTTTTTACGACGGCTGTCACGGATTCTCGATTTCCCTTAAAAGCAGAATTAGAACTCGAACAAATACAATTTTATTTTAAACTTTTCTAAAAAAAATTAAACTGGTGGACAGAGTTTAGTAAATTATAATATTCAATTGTTATTAGTTTGAAATTCGTTGTATAAATTTTTGACTCCAAAAAGGTTTCTGATAGAATAACAAATCAAACGGCTTCTGAACTGATAACATTGTTGTCTGACCATAGCCACCTTCTCATTGCTAATGTTCCTAATTTAGTTTATCGCATAATTCAGGTAGGTCAAAAGGTGTTATATGTTTAATTATGAATACCGAATGTTAAATAGCCAATTCTATTTTAATTGTTAGGATATGACAAAAACGTGTTGCTCACTTCTACCTGATATTCGTGATGCAACAATTCATCCTGGGAGTAAACATTCAGCTTCAAAAGTTAAACGCTTCAATTTTTATATTTCATGAAAATAAAATCATTTGAAAATATCTTTTAATTTTTTGTAAATTTATTTGATTTGTATTATTTTTACAGTTGGAAATTTCAGTGATTAAAAAACTTAAAATTAATTGGCTGTTATCAAAAATTTCAAGATTACTGTAGAATGACAGACAACTTTTTTGCTACATTGATGTGCCATTCTCTAGTCTTTAAAGACGCCGATAAAGTTCTGCACTTTTTGACATCATATTTTATAGATACAGAATGCCGTCCAAGTTTGTTTTTTACCACTTCTGATGTCCTCGTCACGAGGTGACGTGGCTTTTCAGTTGCAACTTTTCTGTTTTTCAGTAAGATTCTATATTGTCCCCTGTCTAACGCCAATCTCTCTCGCTTAAATATTTATTTCATTATTATGTTTTTTTGCAATTCTACGCAGACATCCTGAATAAAAAGTATTTAGTTTTTCCAGGTTTTATTTCTGTACGGGAAACTGCTCAACAGGCATGCCTCGTATTCACGTATCTGTCTAGTATATAAACTTGAGAGAATTCAAAGCCCTCTTGTTTAGTTTGGGCATGACTGGCGGCCATTGCTTTGGCTTTCCAGCTGTTGATTTTTGTTACTTTTTCACTTGTTGATAATAAATTTTTTATTTAAAGCAAATAGCAATAACCAGACAGAGCAAGAGTATCACATTAAAAAAAAAAATATAAAAGATTGAAAAAAATTTGAAAATGAAGTCAATTTTTATTACAAGGTCTTTTTATTCTTGCCTGTAAACCCACAATCGTATCAAACCAGAAAACGTATTTGACACTATCCACTGTGAAAGCACGCATCAAATTTGAATCTGTTGAATTTGAATCTGCCATCCATATTTTCCTAGAAAGCAATGATCAAATTTAGCAAGCGTCTCCTTGGCAACCTATTTTTTTTAAAATCTAGAAGAAACTGCTGACGGTCAGGACTTCACGTCGTTGATTGCAATAGTTACTCTTGTTTTCAGGATTGCAATAGTTAGTCTTGTTTTCAGCCTTCTCTATCTATAATCGATATTCCAGGTTTAAATCCAAACTAAGTTTCAGGATAAATGTAAAAATCCTGATGTAAAAATGTGCGACCCCAATTACTCTCAGCTGTTTTCTACGACAAGAAAATGTTTACAACTTACCGGAATTCAAAGCAAATTCAAGTTGTTTTGACTTTTTCGATACAATTTCTATGACCCTTCGGTTGCAAATTTGGCAACGATTTGTATCGTATTTGTCGGTCAGAACTGAAGCAAAATGTTATTGTGGATAACGGGGATTCCATTAGACTAAAATCGAATTTGACCGGTCATATAAATTTGATATGGCTGGATCGTTGAGATTTTGTTGCCACATGTTTTAAATAACCGAACGTACATTTTCCATTATGTCTGCCATTAATGTATGGTTGCAAACAGGGTAATATGCACTAAACTCATTATTTATATTGTTACAGACGTGAAGGCGATAAAAGTTAGTAATTAGAAATTAAAATGAAGCTGAGCCAATTAAAACGGTTGTGAAAGTCATGTGATGCACTTACTAGCAAAAAGGCGTAAACGATTGAAAGTCACCAATTATATAACGAGGAAGACCAACACGAAGAACAAGAAAGAACACAAGAACGAACGAGGAGAACACGAGGAGAAAAACACGAGTACAGCCAATTATATAACGAGGAAGACCAACACGAAGAACAAGAAAGAACACAAGAACGAACGAGGAGAACACGAGGAGAAAAACACGAGTACAGCTAATCAGAAGACGGAACACAATTGACGTAAATGTGATTGATATGATTTTATGTAGTTATTAGGATTAATTTCTATTGCTGCTGGTATTAAATAAGTTTAAAAGTTGTTGTGTTAAACTATCGGAGATCTTGAACCTACGGATAAACGAACTCTTGACTATCGTTGGAAGCTACAAGGTAAGATTCCAATAGCTCACTGCAGTATAGAATACCAGGACTAGATTATTGAACTACCCAAATGCGATACAGACGACCCAGGAAACGAGGAAGACCAACACGAAGAACAAGAAAGAACACAAGAACGAACGAGGAGAACACGAGGAGAAAAACACGAGTACAGTGACCAGAAATAAAATGTACTCGTGAAAGTATCCAATGTATCAAAAGTTTCTTTAACGCCTGAATAAATTCCAAACATAAATACCATGATGAGTTACCATAAAAAACTAATTTAGTTTATCGCATAATTCAGGTAGGTCAAAAGGTGTTATGTGTTTAATTATGAATATTGAATGTTAAATAGCCAATTCTATTTTAATTGTTAGGATATGACAAAAACGTGTTGCTCACTTCTACCTCATATTCGTGATGCAACAATTCATCCTGGGAGTAAACATTCAGCTTCAAAAGTTCCGATAGCTGTAAAGAATACCAGGACTAGAGAACTCAATGTAATTAGTCGGACAAGAAAAACTTAACTACTGACGAATAGTTGATTTACCGGTCGATTAGTTATTGTGCTGTATTCTAACGATTTTAACGATCGAACGAACGAGTGATCGATTACGGTAATACACACAAGTGATTGCCAGCACAGTTTTCTTTCTAAAAAAGTCATCTGAAATAAGTCTGCTTAGGAATCAAAAATCTACGTAGAGAGAAAGTTCAATGGGTTGGGTATAACAATATGTTGAAACAGTTTGGAACATACATCTTGGTGACATTCTTGATTCACTTCGTTCATCGACACTATTAGACATTTGAATTGACACTTATATTTGCAGTATATGTAGTTGATTATTGCAACTTTATTACGTACAGATTAAAATTATCTCATCTGCTTTGTTTTCTATCCATTTTAAATTTATTATAGTTTTCTTTCTAAAAAATTTGATTCACTTGGTTCATCGAAGACGGAATAATTGTTTTTGTTTTTGAAGTTGAATATACATATGTAACTTTTATTTGCATTTGTTAAGCATTTTTTTTTATTCTGTACAGACTATAAAAGAACTAATTTTTGTCATTTTCGAATGGTGTATGAAGTCACCAATCTTAATGTTAACTTCAACGTCAGTAAAGTCAGGCGAAGATTGTATGACATCTTTTATTTCTGGTCACTGTTTATTGCATGAAGTCTTTCAGGTTTGTTTTTTTTCAATGAGGCAATTTTTTTAAGAATAAAATATGAAAGGAATTTAAAAAAAATTAAATACAAGCTTTTCTCTCTTTTAATACAATATTGTTCAAAAATATTAATTAATAATTTTGTTGCAATTTGCCTGGCCACAAATAATTGGTAAATCATTCGTTACATCAATTCTCACGACGTCGTGCATAGTTTTCCGTTCTGATGTTTAGAACAAGTTCCTTTGAGGCAGAAGGTCTGAGCTTTCGCTCGCTAGCATAGGTAGAAACAAGCACGATTAATTGCTGCAAATACTGAGGACCTAACCCCATCAATCCTGTAGTTGATTCTATAACAGACTGTGGAGCTAGGTACGAACATGTTGAAATAGTTCAGATTTTGTATCTCCAGAAATTATTTTGCTGCAGTGTTTAAAATAGACTGTAGTTTTGACATAGTTTTGAAGACACAAATGAAACTGTGAATCAACAAAATTAAACATTCATTTATGAGACATTTTTTTTACGCACCTGATTTGGCGTAATTAATAAAAACATGATTGACAAAGGTTTTTTGCGTGCCTGCCTGCTCATCGTCATTTCTTAGTCGAACCAGACGCTAAGCTATACATTATTATTGACCAAATAATTTTTGACGATTGCCAAACAAGACGTATTCCTTTAGCTTCAAACGATTTACCAGCACACAACCTGAAACTGATCTGACTCTTTTCTGAATTTTGGTTATTATTATAGTTAGGGTTATTAATATATCATCTGCATAAAAGTGTCAGTCATTTCAAACCTGATGATTCGGCGATACACTTTTCAGCTGCAAAAAAAAACAGAATTCGAGTCATCAAGACTAGTCTATTCGACAAATAACCATTGCATCCAGCAAATCGATCAAGAAGGGTTTTGTGACTGACCGTATAAAACGGCAGCTTCGACGTCAAGTAGAACCAATAGAAAGACACTACCGGCATCAAAAGCCTTTTGATACTTTATGATTGCTGTCTCAGTTGAGTGTCCAGAACAAAACCCGATTTAAGCTCAGGAACGAGTCGGTTTGCTTTCTGATATGGACTCAATGGTTTTGCCACTAATTTATTTTTCTATGAGCTTTGAAAATGACGTGAGGTTTGAAATCGGGCTATAGCAGCAGAACTTTTTTTAGTTTTGGCATTACGATAGCCGTTTTTTGACGTTTTGTTAGCAGAATTTGATGTAATTATAACATAATTATAACATTAAAGATATTTCCCAAAACTATGTTGAATTTCAAGACTTACTAATAACAGTCGAATTTTAGCATAGAAACCAGTGGTGATCTGCTGTAATCCAAGACGACATATAAAAAAAACACGTTTGAATTTTGTCGGATGGCAGGTTATACAAAAGTTTTCAGATTGCCAAGCAGTTCAATAAATGTTGTTTACATGCTGTCCCGGACAACAGTGGCTACCCACCAACAGGAACCATTCATTCTATTTATTACTTTAGTATCATTCATTTTACGTGCCATATCTAAACTGATATCTAGACAGATCCTCAGAAACTATTCTTGGCTTAAATGTCTGCTTCTCAAAAAACGTCTACTGGCGATGAATTAATCTTTAATACCAATATGTATTTGACAATATGTATTTGGAAATTAGTTTGATCAGTGGAAAATAGAGCTGTGGGGCAAAAACCTGTAGGTGAATTACTAACAAATTTCACATGAGCCATCCCCTGCTTATAAGATATAAAAACTTTGAAAATTTCAGCGATTAAGGAGCGAGCGAGAGGTGTCAATAGCGGATATACAGCCATAAGTATATGCACACATAAATATATATACACACTACTCACATACATACATACATTATTTATTCGTTCATTCATTCATTAATTTTTTTTTTATTTATTTTATATCTATTTTATTTATCTTTAAATTAAATTGAATTGTGTTAGGTTTTAAGCGATATTCAAGGTGGTAGTAACGAAATCAGTTTAAAAAAACAACAAATAAGTATTCAGCAGCAAAATCTTAAACATCAACGTTATTCTGATACGTCTTTCGCTAATACACCAGATGAAAGTTCTCATCACGCCGAGCAACATATTTCAATTAATATTATTTCCGATCCAATTTCATCACTTTCACCTATAACGACGCCTTCGTTAACGTCAGCGAGCATAGCAACTCACTGCGAAACATCTCTTAAAAGTTCTCGTCATAGTGTTGTCGGTTTATTTGATTCTAATGAAGCTGTAACAAAACCATCAAGATTAGAACTATTTGTTAATGACGTTAATGAAGAAAATAACTTCGATCCTATTACACGACATGTTGTTTTTGCTGCTAACATGGTTTACTTTATTCTTTTTAAATTATCAAAATTATATAACTCATGGTATTTATATTTGGAATTTATTCAGGCGTTAAGGAAACTTTTGAACTACATTGGATACTTTCCATTTCCTGGGTCGTCTGTATCGCATTTGGGTAATTCAATGCAAGAAAATCAACTGTTTAAATCACAACAGAGTTCACATTCAGAATACGAAAACAGTAAAGTTATAAACGATAAAAAATGGAATGAAGTTATACAAAACGATACCATTCAAGTATTTAAACAAATTTTACAATATCATTTAATTTCTATACCAATATTTGTTTTGTAATTTTTATCAAATATACAAATGATAATTATCTGATTAAACATTTAATTTAGTGACTATGTTCAATTACTAAGCGATCCCTGCCTAACGTAAAATGCGTAATTTTCACGCGTAACCATATACGCTGTGTGTTTGTTAATACCTCTGAAACAAGCGCAAAAGAGAAAATAACTTTTTTTATCATCATTATCACGATGGATGTACGTTTATAGCTGGCAGAGCTGCCCTGTGTTCGTTCCACGTTATCGTTTTTTAATTAATTAGTTTATTAGTTTTACAATTTTTTAACCGTCCAATAACACTTTTACTTGTTTTCATTATCGATGATTCCTTTGTTTTAAAGTATATGGGTAGGAAGAAATTGCTCGTTGTTGAATATTTATTATTGGATGTCTTTGTTCTATGAGTATTGATTCGTAAATTATAATGGTTGTTATTGTAATGTAAGATTTCAACATTGTGGTCCAAGTTTTGTTTAGTAGTTTAGTTTTGTGTTTCTCTTTTTTTTTATAGCGCCAGTTTGTACGTACGTGCATCGTGAGTCATCTCGATAACTTGGTCGTCGTCAGACCGATATATTCAGAATTATGGTAAAAATACTCACCAGTATTACATTTAAACAAATATATTAGATGGCTATGATCCATTATTGACTCTGGTTTAAGGTTTACTAGTGCAGTTTATCGTTTTCGTTTGGTTGCTTTTTACTGTTCTTTTCATGATTTTTTCATCCCGTTCGAAAACGGTTGACATGTGATTCTTATATTATATTACTGTGTTATTTTTGTTATTATTGTTGGTTGCATTGTTGTTGCTGATTTTTTGTTCTTTGCGTTCTATAATTTTCTAAATCATGTAATTTTTATATTCACTATTAATGAGTAGCTTAGTGATTCTATCTAGTTCTGTTCTCCTGCTTTCTATATCGGAAATGTCGGTATAGGCTCGATTTACAGGCAAAGATCGTGCTCCCTAGATATGTTTGACAACATTCACTATTGTTTGTTGCTTAGGTGTATACTATAAAAGCAAAGGTGTATACTATAAAAGCAATTTATAGTATACACCTAAGCAGCAAACCTATAAAAAGCAACACCTAAGTTGTTTGTTGCTTAGGTGTATAGGTGTAGGTGTCTACTAAAGTTATAAATTCATTTTCCACATTTTGTATTATTACGTCTAGGAATTGTCAGATCGCGATCACTTACCCCATTGCGAAAATGAATTCGTTGCTCTGCTAAGATTATGTACGGCCGAAGCGCCTTTTGTTGGCCAGGGTAACACATTTTATCAACAAATATACGGTGTAGTAATGAGCTTTCCATTTTGAGTACTCTTC